GGCTTACAACACAATAAAATACATTGAAATACAATAGAACATAATAAATTACCACTAAATACAAAAATACAAAAAATATTTGTATTCCATGTCTGGCAGAAAGTTTACTGGGTGACTTTCTGCCAGACATGGAATATTAATCTAACATAACTCTCAGTTCTCAGGAGGATAAAATGGAGAGGTTTCTGTGAACAGACCTGGGTTCCTTGTAAGAGGAAAAAATATGGGACAGTTGTAAGAATAATAATGTTAATAATTAGCAGTCTGACTTGGTTCACACTTCTGGTACTACAGATCCAACACAGTTATTTTTCTGTTTTTGCATTTCTTCAAATTCTGTGATACAGCTCTCCACTTTAAAAAGCCTGACAGCAAATATAAACTTGCATATCAGTTAAATGTGAAGTTTAGGCTTTTTTCAAAAAATGCAAAAATAGGACTGGACAGACTTGCAAATGAACACATGAAAACTTGCAGGAAATAGACTGACTGCTATTCCTTGTTATGTGAAGGAGATGTCACGTCAAACTGTATGAGAAATGCACACCTTGCAAAGTGACCCAGCAATATGCAGAGAATTGCTGTCTCATGCTGGTCATAGTTACTGTGCTACAGGCTAATCTTTGGAAGGTCCAGTAGTATTTTGGTTTTTTTAAGGCCACAATCCTATACAAATTAGACATAGAAAAGTTGGAATTGTATGGCTTTTTCTTTACAAAAGTACATAAGATTACATATTAAATCTTTCTGGGAAGAGCTAAGGGAAATTATTCCCCGCCATTCCTCAGATGCATTACTGTTAAAGTATGTCACTCACCCTTCCTTCCTTCCTTCCTGCCTTCCTGCCTTCCTGCCTTCCTGCCTTCCTGCCTTCCTGCCTTACCAGGCTTGCCCTGTTAATTATTTATTGTCTTTTTCTGTTCATTTACAGTCACTCTGTCTCACATCACACAGCTGGTCCTCAGTCACAATAAGCTCACAAGTAAGTATCTTTCTAAATCATGTATTTTTTCCTAAATATGAATGAGCTCCTTGACTGATTCTTTGATTGCATGTTCTGCGGTTTTCTGCATTTTGTGCATGGGCTTCTGCAAGAGCAAATGGTGCCTTGTCAGCTGACAAGTCCCTGGTCAAAATGCTGAGAACATGAATAGTAACAAGTTGGATCCAAATGATAGTCTCAGCTGGGGAAATAACAGGTGGGTGTTTAATGGCGTTTTTCTTACAGAACTTTGGGGAATGATTTTCTTTTATTTGCAGTGGCTCTTTATGTATTTTGATTAATTTTTAAAATTTCCCATCTAGTTACAGGCAGTCCCCAAATTTCAAATGTCCAAGTTACCCCTGCTTACTGAACAAACTGGCATAAGCCTATTCATTTTAAAAAATCACTGCAGAAAAATGTCATTACCATAGAGAGAGGAAGTGAAAAGGGAGAGAGGGAGGCCTCCAAAGCAGGCCTTCCTGCTCTGCCCATCTGGAGAGGGAAATCTCTCTGGCATTCCCTTGTTGCAAAGAGGAGGTGCTGATGAGTTTGGCCAGGGGGGTGCTAGAGATATTTGTGTTTTTTTCCACTTCCATGGGAGTCCTGTGCTCCTAACACCTGCGAATGTGCAGGGATGACTATACACGATCCGGCTTACATACAGATTCAACTTAAAGACAAATGTCTGTTTTCTCAGGAATGGAACTTGTTCGCAATCCAGGGACTGCCTGTATTTTTAAAGTCCTCTGAATTGACTTTAGATGCAATCTGCATTGGACTGACAAGAACATAAATGGCACTGATGTGTGCATAAATACTGACTGTTAAAAGGTGCACAGAAACACTGATGTAACACTGACAGCCTGTGCCCTGTAGGCTGTTGTCTTAAGCATACTTTCTAGGACTAGGTAGCCCTAGAATCTGCACAACTTGCTGCTCAGTCAATCTGGTCAGAAGAGAACTGGTGCTGGTTTAGCTGTATCTCATTTCTGTTTCTAGCTACCAAGTCATTGTTTCTCCTTCCAACTTAACAGTCTTTTATGAAATCCTAATGCTACCTTGTACTTCCATTAGTATACCTTTTAAACCACCTTCTGGAGAGATACATCATTGGTATATAGAATCAAAGGGTCCCGTCAAATAGATTATGTATCTCCTCAAGCAACATCTGTTGGTACGATAACTGCTGCCATCCATCTTACAGATCTTTGTACTTTCTAAACAGTAAGGGTATAATCTTATGCAGAAAAAAGCGTACATTTCCCAGCAGGTGTTAAACAGCATGGATGCTTAGAGGGATGCTGGGATTGTAGAACCTTTGAAATATGTTCAGAAATTTTGACTGGTCCCAAAAGCTACAGCAAGACTATTGATCTGGGCCAATTATATGGAACTCATGACTTCCTTGTTCCGACAGCTTTGCTGACCTGTGTTCCCAGGCACAATTCAGAATTATGGCCTAACTGGTTATGATCTAGAAAGCCCTATATGTCTTAAGACCAGGCTCCCTGAAAAATCACTTTCACCCATACAAGCCTAGTCAACTTTTAAGCCTTTGGGGGAAGTCAAAGAAGGCTAGTCTCAAAACTTGACTGAGGGGAATTGCTGACATGTCCCATAAGAATTATCCTGCACTGAGCTACAGTGTTCTTTTCTGTCTCCCATGTCATTTAACACCAACATGAAAGCATTGGGGAGGCTGTGGGAGATTTTGATGGCAGGTGCCTGAGGACACTCAGCCATATCTGTCCTTTCACTAGTAATGCAGAGGATACCCTGTCCAAGGTACATTGGCCATCACTTGGTTTCCATGCACAAATACACTTTAGTAGGTGTTGGGATGAGAGGGGGAACAGTTCTTGGTGCACACTCTTGGGTCAAGCTGATCTGGACTCCCACGTCAGAGCGAAGGGGAGGAGGCAGAGGGGCCTGGAGAATGGGGGCTCCGGACTTTGAGACGAAAGCAGCAGAGGTAATTATCTCAAGGCACTCTCTCTAAGCACTCAGGTAGGCTCTGAGAATAGCCAAGATGCACAGGTGTTGGATGGGGGCAGGGGAGAGCAGCTCTCAGAGTCAGACAAACCTGGTACAACTCTTGACCCCACAATGCAGCATTGGGAGAAATGGGTCAGCCAATTAGAGGATAGACTTATATAGAAGAGGTATGCTTGCCTCCAAACAGGCCCTTCAGAATGGATTGGGTCCAGACATACTCAAAAGAAGGTCTTCTAGAAGTAGTTGTTTAGATTGGGTTCAACAAACTGCTCAGAGATACATTCTATGGTGCTTGTGTTTATTGGGTATCCTTTGGGGAATAAGGAGCTTTTTGCAAAGAAACAGTCTGTTGCCTTGAACATGCACAGAGAAGAAAGCTTGGTACACAACAGTAGAAAACCTATGATTTTAATGAGTTTGTATTTTTTTCGGTATTATGTATTTGCATCAAGCCTGAAATAGTAATATGGAAAATTCTGTGCTTTGCAAGCTGGTTAGAGGAATTGTTGTGTGTGTGGGGGAGATAAAAAATTAACAAATAAAAATGGTGCCCCTCACTACTTCCAAAGGACTGAATTTCAGTTTTATTATTTGTCACATTGGACACTCTTGACCTAATCCCTTAAAAAGATACAATTAATTGTCTGAGTAGATTGTCCTCAAAATGACTTGGGGAAAACAGTGTCAGTGACACTTGATATGCCCCACTAAGGTCATATTAGCATCTCTTACTGGTTTTCTGGCATATAAATGAGGGTGCCTGCTTTGCTGTTCTGTTGTTTATAGTAAATATGTCCATTTACTAAGGCAATAAATATGCATGAAAGGTAAGCAGATGTCCAGTATTTTTTGCAGCTGGGGTATGCAGCTCTATCTGTCACTCTGACAAAAACAGGCAAAGTTGTACCATAACAGTAAGTCATGTTGCCCTGCTTTCAGCTTTTGCTGTTGTATCACCTTTTTATATAAATTATTTTCAGCTAGCATTTCACATTTTTCTCAATAAATCTGTCACATGTAGATAGCACTCCAGTCACCAGCACTTGCTTCTACAACAGAACCGGAAAGAAGGCTGTGCTTGTGTGATTGGGGAAATGTGTGCGTCTTCTCAAGGCATTTAGGAGAGGAAGCATCAGCAGAACATTTAAACTCAGACTTTCCCCAGTGTGATGCCTTTCAGAAGTGTTTGACTACAATTCCCAAACTGGCTACAGCATGGCCAAACTGGCTGGGGCTAATGGGAATTATAGTCAAAACATATCTATAGAATGTCAGGTGGGGGAAGGCTCTAGTTGTAACTCTTCAAAGATAAGTTTGCTTCCACAAAACTTGGTTGGTATTAAGGCTTCTTGTTTGGCCAAATTTATTTATTCATTTATTTATTTAAAACATTTCTATGCCGCCCCATTCGCCGAAGCCTCGGGGCAGCTCACAACATAAATTAAAATATAATACATTAAAAATATAAAACAAATTAACAATATAAAATAAATCGCCCTGGCTAGATAAAATAAGCAAATAATATTAACAATTAAAATGACGTTTAAATAAAAAGGTCTTTGCCTGGTGCCGAAAAACAAATAACGACGGCGCCAGGCGGACCTCTCTGGGGAGCGCATTCCATAACTTAGGCGCCACCGCAGAGAAAGCCCTCCTCCGAGTACCTACCCTCCTAATTTCTTTCACGGAGAGTTCCCGGAGAAGGGCCTCTCCCACAGATCTCAAGGGGTGAACAGGTGTATATGGATGTAAGCGCTTTTTTCTTGAGATGTCAAGAGTGGCTGGACTCAGAATTAAATTTCTTTCTGGAAAACTGTGGCCATAAAATAGGAATATTGGGGAATCTTTTTAACAAGTTTCTGCTTGATCAATAATAGTCTTGACAGAAAGAGAAGACAATCACTGCAGCCCAGGTGGTATTGGAATTCATCTGTCCCTTTGACGAATCTTAAGACTAAAACCCCAAATGTGCAAGCAATAAACTTTCAAAAGCAAATGAGTTTGCCCTTGCCTTTGTACGGAGACAATATTCTAAGGAAAGCAAATTAGTGGGAGTATTCTAGATGACATGAAACACTCCTCAAAAGTACTATAGTGGATAAAAATTGATTATTCATGTTTTTTGTCTATTTCTTACATATGTATCCCTCCCAAGAGCTGTGACTGACATAGATGGTCTTCCCCACCCTGTCACTCTGCTCTTTTATGCTATGCTTGTAATAGCCCTTGCAGGGAAGGTCACCTGCCTGAGAGAAAATGGTCCAAGGTGATTTGGCAGCCCTCATGGCTCACTGGAGGTTGGAACCTAGATCTCCCCAGTCCTCATCTGACACTCAGATGTCTTCACCTTGCTAACAGGTGTTCCAAAGGTTGCACTGTATGTTAAATGGGAGCCACAGAGCTCCTAGAAGGGCTGGGAAGATTGGGAGTTGTGGCACTTTTCTGTTGCTATCCATCTTTCATCTCTCTAGCTGCTGTTAAGAAGAAGTTTTCTGTTGATCACTGAGTTAGCAATTGAATGTTTCCGTCCGTCCGTCCCTCCCTCCCTCCTTCCTTGGGTATTTTCATTGTTCATTTTTTACACTTCTGGACTGCCCAGTAATCAAAGTTCTTTGGGCAGGTAAAGGTAAATAAAAACACCAATTAAAACACAAAATCATAAGAAAACAATGTAAAGAAACACATCTTAACCTCATTAACTGAATTTTTAAAAATGTGGTCTTTGTTAGGAATGACTTTTACATTAACGATTTTTAATGACTTAATGGAGGTATTAACTGGTCTCCTGGGGAGCGGATGCAAGGTGTTTACTGTTGTGTTTAGTTATTAGTTGGGTTTTAGTTGTTAGCATTATTGATTTATTTTGAAGAATATGTATTTGTATTTCATTTGTGTGTATTTATGTTCTGTTTAAAAAAATAAAAAGGGAGGATTTTAAATGACTTGATGTCATTAAACTGTGCAGTACTTTAATTTCATTCTGATTTGAAACTTGATGAGGT